GAGTCTCAAATGCGTTGATCTGAAAAAAAGGATCTTGATGTAATTTACTCCATACACATTGTGGAATAAACATCTCATGAGTTCCCTCCCATGGACAGTCCATAGGGAACAATTTACCTACATCAGTTTTAAACTGCTTTTAGCGAACTCAGTGACCCAAATGCAAAATCTGGTGCTCAGGAGCCTCATGTGGATTTGTGACCCTCTTTAGAGGTCCTTGTGTCTGTGAACCCAGAATGGCTGTAAACACATATCTGCTTTTTCCACTTGTGAGCTTTGTAATATGGATAATATTCTTCATGTGTGAACAAATCCAACTATAAATGGGGAAAATAGTCTTTTCTTTCTTTAAACATTGCAGGGCACTATGTGTGTAATGATACAACAGCATAGAAATGGCTTATAAACATGTTTGAGGGCTTTAGCAATATTATATAGCAATAGCATGCTACTCAGTGAGGTGATACTGCTTTGGTTTGATAGCAATGCAGCATGCCACATGATAGTGCAGCCTTCAGTGCTGTCTTGGGGTAAGTAACGACTAATCTCTTGGTGAAAGCATGAGAGTAAGACATAACTGGTTTGTTCAGCCAACAGAATACACAATCTTTGGCCTTATAGTGCTGTGAACTTTTGGGCATATGTAGCCCTGAGGAATCTAGAATGTATTCAGATTTCTGATTTCCCTGTATAATAGCCATGGCTATTCCTTTGTGATAAGGTGTCCACTCCACACAAGGCCTAAAGGGGTTTAGGTGGCTAGTTGGGACAATTAACTGCCCAGGCTGCACCAGGAGGAGGACCCAGGGAGTAGGGATTAATTAGAGAGGAGGCTCAGCTGGTCAGGAACAGGAGTGGCCTGTCTGAAGCCCAGGAGCTGAGAGGAGAAAGGGGACCACAGGGAATTAGTCTACATCTACAATTACTTCTTGGGAGGAGGGAATTTGGGCTGACAAACCCAGGGGGGGAAAGGGCAGTTCCCAAACAGCCACTGGGGAAGCAGCACAGACCAGGCAGTGGAGAGCAGATTGCCTGGGACAGTTTGCCCTGAAAGTTAGGCATGACTTGCCCTGGGTGAATCCATGTTGACTGTTTCTGATCACCTTCCTCGCCTCCAAGTACTTCAAAATGGATTCCTTGAGGACCTGCTCCATGATTTTTCCAGAGACTGTAGTTCCCCGGATTCTCCTTCTTCCCTTTTTTAAAGATGGGCACTATATTTGCCTTTTTCTAATCATCCGGGACCTCCTCCGATCGCCATGAGTTTTCAAAGATAATGGCCAATGGCTCTGCAATCACATCAGCCAACTCCCTCAGCACCCTCGGATGCACTAGATCCGGCTTCATGGACTTGTGCATGTCCAGCTTTTCTAAATAGTCCTTAACCTGTTCTTTCACCACTGAGGGCTGTTCTCCTCCTCCCCATACTGTGCTGCCCAGTGCAGCAGTCTGGGAGCTGGCCTTGTCTGTGAAGACCGAGGCAAAAAAAGTATGGCGTACTTCAGCTTTTTCCACATCATCTTGCCTGTGGAGGCTAGGACTATAACAGGGTTTAAAAGAGAACTAGATAAATTCATGGAGGTAAGTCCATTAATGGCTATTAGCCAGGATGGGTAAGGAATGGTGTCCCTAGCCTCTGTTTGTCAGAGGGTGGAGATGAATGGTAGGAGAGAGATCACTTGATCATTACCTGTTAGGTTCACACCCTCTGGGGCACCTGGCATTGGCCAGTCGGCAGACAGGATACTGGGCTGGATGGACCTTTGGTCTGACCCAATATGGTCATTCTTATGTTCTTATCTGTCACTAGATTGCCTCCCCCATTTAGTAAGGGTCCCATACTTTCCCTGACCTTCTTTTTGTAGAAACCCTTCTTGTTACCCTTCATATCCCTTGCTAGCTGCAACTCCAATTGTGCTTTGGCCTTCCTAATTACACCCCTGCATGCTCGAGCAATATTTTTATACTCCTCCCTAGTCATCTGTCCGAGTTTCCACTTCTTGTAAGCTTCCTTTTGGTGTTTAAGCTCGCCGAAGATTTCACTGTTAAGTCAAGCAGGTCGCCTGCCATATTTGCTATTCTTTCTGCACATCAGTATGGTTTGTTCCTGCGCCCTCAATAAGACTTCTTTGAAATACAGCCAGCTCTATATTGGGCTCAGGTGGACAGTAGTGCACAGTGGAGAGTCCCTTTCACCCTTCTACCCACAGCAGCTAAAAAGCAATGCCCAGGATAAGCCCTGCTAAGCTACTACGTTACCAGCACTTTTATTTGGAGCACTATTTCATTCAGGTGCTCAGCACTGGGCTATGGGGCATTAACAGAAGTTTTCTTTCTAGAAAATGGGATGAAGCCAAGGTTAAAGGAAGAAGAATCTGTTGCTTGCCTGTCAAAGCAATTTCTATATGAACAAGTTAATTGAGGTAAGACAACAAATCCTGCTCAGAGAGGAGAGAGGTAATTGACCTCCTCACATATCTCCTTCCCACTGTTTAATTATGTTTGTTTTCTGCTGCCTGCCTCTCTGCCTGCAGCATCATGTCTCTAGAGCTGCACTACTCTCCCCCTGCTGCCTGGTCTCAAAGCTATCAGAGGCAGGCAAGGAAAATAGCTGTTTCAGGAGCAATGTGGACACAAATAGAAAGAATATCTAGACTGGGGTTGAAAGACAGTTCTGTCTGGAGGGCTGGAACTATCTTTCAACCTGGATCCAGATATGCCATTATTCTACCTGGAAGGTCAGGGCAATGCTAAACTGACTGAGATAGCATGTAGCACTTTCACTTAGCCAGTGGAACTAATAGCACTGAGGCCAAGAACCCATCAGGATTCACAAATGATCATCCCTTTGTCTGGATAAGAAGTACTTCCTGAGTTTGAGGGAAGGGGGGGGATCTAAAAAATAACAGAGATTTGGAAGGGATATAAGCCCTCATGCTTCAGGCCATAACCCCCCTCTAACAATTGGCGGTTAGGAATAAACTTTCTCTGGGAGCCGGCTACCCTGTAACCACTTACTGGGAAGTTTTTTGTACCTGCCTCTGAAGTACTCGGTGCGGGCTGCTCCTGGAGACAACTGGTCTGATCCAGTCTGGCAATTCCTATGCATTTATGATGGCAGGAAATAAGTTGGCTTGTTCTTGTGACCTGGTTATAGCTGGCTTTCTCCTCTTGAATCTCATGCTCTATTTGACTCCCATGCATGGTGTTACTCAGGTGGAGTCATGAGTGTTGCTGGAAAAGTGTGCTGACCGCTACTCTTCACCTTATAAGCTTTTTCATTCTTTTTTTATCTGCTCGCCCACTCTCTAATTACTTCTAAGATATACCAGTTTTTCCCAAACTTTTCTCCCCCTATCGCTACCCAAATCCCCTATTTACCCATGAAAGGACACTTTATAAACAAAGAAGATATAAAATGACGTAGGTTGGCTCAAAATGGGCCTGCTATCCCTCTTAACTTCTAATATATAAAAATCTGCAGCCATATATTTAATTACCTCAGAAAATGCCTTAATTATACAATGTGTGGCTGTAAATTCTATGGAATTTTAAAATAACCCCTGGAGTTTGTGGATGCTGACCCCTGTCATAGGACAAGAGTAATCCCTTTTGAACACTGGCCGGATCATGTGATGGGGGTCAGGAAGAAAGTTCACTTTTATATTGGCATCTCCGTGTCACCTTTATTTAACAAGATCATTTAGAAAATGCCTACCCTCCATTTGCATCCCTGGTCTATATGAGTGCACGCTCTGAGATATATGCTATACATGTAATGCCTTTCCTTCAAACTTCTGTCCCTGATCCATTGCAGGGCACAAGAGGTGCAGTACAGCCTTCAGCAGGTGCCCAACCACCTGCGTTCATACAGGCTCTATAAGAGAACTCATCTGAGGGGTGTGGTTAGATGTTGATAGATATGTGTGTGTGTTTTCCCTCTGTGTGATGCCCCAGCCCTGTGCAGACAGCTGGCACGGCAGACCTCAAGCGAACCGCCCATGTCTTAGGCTCTCTTCCTACTACGTTCCCCCGCTTTTTGTCTTTTTATGGAGAGGATGTTTACCCTTCTTCCCAGAAAGGTATAATGTATTGACTGAAGATGGATACTCTTCCAAAAATTAACTACCCACTTTTTCCCTTGGTCTATAGCAAGGGCACCCTCTTTCATCTGATTTCTTCTTTGTCCAGTTTGTGGACAGTCTTTGGAATGAGACCAGCCACTCATCTGCAAGCAGATTAAGAGTGACGGGCAGGAAGAGTGAACTGCATCTATTTATTATCAATGGGGGATATCTTGTGATGGTGCATGGATGGCCCGGGGGCTGAGAGTCACCTGGATACCCCCTGCCTCCATTGAGAGAGAGTTGCTTGTGTTTAACTGGGCGTCAGCTCCTGGACACCACCAGCCTGTTAGAGCCTAGAGGAGAGAGACTGGGTAATTACCAGCCCCTATAAGCTGCCAGTTTTAAAAAAATAAATATATCAATAAAACATTGTGTGTTCAACTGATACCTCTAGAAAGTGTGGTTAGGCAAACTTAAGTTCAGCATTTCATTTTAATTGTGGGGAAATGTGGATTTTTATGGGGTTTTTGTGAGAGAAGTTTGTTTTTAATCACAGAAAACTAGCGTCCCTTGCTGATGATACTAAAGGCTGGAGGGAAGGACATACAGCTCACGCTGTTTATAATCCAAAACATAGAACTCTTCCTTTTTAGAAAGATAAGGGGCAGCAGTTTTAAGACAATAACATTTCTCCAGCGGAGCTGAGGCTCGAACGCTATTGCTCGCTGGCTCCTTTAGCGCTGGTCCCCAGCTCCTGCCCTTGCAACAACGGGGCTGGGCTTCCCGGGAAGTGGCGCTTGCAAGGAGCCGCTCAGTGCCAAGGGCAGGCGATGGGCATCGGCCCCGCCGGAGCGTCACTTGGCTAATGGGCATGTGCAGACACGTCGCACATGCTCATTCGGACCAGCTCCGGAGTCGGGACATGTGCACAAGCAAAGAGGGCTCATTGGGCAGGTTCTGCTCTGGCTGCTCCGGGAGCTTTTCCTGCTGCTGCTCAGCTGCTCACGGGCTCTATAAATAGTTTCCCATCCCAACATGCTCCGGTAGCTACAGCGGCTGGCTAAGCGGCGAGCGCTGCCTCCCGCGCCCGGGGCGTAGGGAGCCCGGAGGGACCCAGGCGGAGTGCGGTAAGGGAAAGGGGGTCCCCTCTCCTGGGGCTGACCCCAGCTGGTGGGGGAGGGGGAGTGTTGTCACTGGGTGGGGCGGGGCGCCTCCCCGGGCGGTAAATACATGGCAGCGGCTGGAGCGCGGCGCTGCCGGGTTGCCAGAGGCGGCGGAGGGCTCTGGGGCTTGTCTGAAGCGGCCCTGGGCAGCAGGGGAAGCTGCCGGCTGCGGTCGGGGCTTGGTGGTGCTCAGAGCCGCGCTAATGATCGCTGTCAATCACCCGCCGCCCCCAGCGCTGGTCGCCACCGAACGGGCGGGCGTGGTGGGGCAGAGCCTCGCGCCGCTTGCCCCGGCTCCCTTCCCCGGGCCGGGAGCTGCCGCCCGCAGGCACCGGGACCTGGAGCTCTCATAGCTGCCAGGGCGGGCAGCCTGCTGGTGGGGCCCGGAGGCGCAGCCTTCCAGGAAGCGCTTGAGCTGGGCTGCTCGTCCAAAGTTTGCGAGTGGGGGGAAAGGTCCCGGCACCGCGCCGCCGAGCCGTGTCTGGCGGAGCAGCGGGCTGGGCTGGCCGGGCTGCGAGTCGGGGACTTCCTTGTGAAGGGAGCGAGCGAGAGAAACCGCGCCTCTGTTTGTGCGATGACACTGAAGCTGAATTCTTGCCTATTTCTGTTTTCCAGACCTGTCTGTCTAACCCTCGGATAAGCTCCCTGCATTCTGAAGCAGCTCCCGCTCTTCCCAGCCGTCTCCATAGACTGTGCGCCCTCTAATTACCACCCTTTTCTGATTTTCCTTTTCTTGTGCTCTACCTTCTGGACTTCTGTTGTTGGGGTATTTTTGGAGGGGCGGCTGGATGGAGAATGGTGGTTGGATTGTCCGTTCCATTAGTAAGATGTGGGGCCAAATGCTGCCCTTCCTTAAACGCCATAATTGTGCCTGGCCCTAAGCAGATGTGTCCCAGCTAACATCAGAATGCCTGTTCTGCCCCTGTAAATCCAATGCAGCCAGATCAAACTGGAGGAATGGGGTCAGGCCAGGACAAATTAAGCTCCTTCAGCTTGTGACACCAAACTAAGATGCTGCCCCTCTGGATTGTGCAGATTGTAAGAAAAAAGAGGGATGCCCATCTTATGAAGTGCTTTGATCAGCAGTTAAATGGTATATGCTGATATTTTAAATTGTGTAATTAGGCTTCAGAGTTAACACCCCATGGAGATGAATGGAGCAGTTCACATCTCTTAGAGCTATTGTTTCAGGCTTGCTTGCTTGCTTGATTTGTTTTTGTAGGCTCAAGCAGAAATCACTAAATCAGTTTATGTTCACTTCAGAATCTGAAGTGTTTTTTGCCTTTTGTTTCTGCAACCCATTTGTTTGTGTACGACCAGTTGAGCCAAGATTGGAGCAGAATTTGGCCCTGTGACTTTAGGTGAGACACACTTGTTCAGAATTCCAAAACATGGAACTTCTTGTTATCACTTTTTTATTTTTAAACGTTGCTTAAGAAGGAGGAATACATCTGGCTAGAGCCAGGCATACAGGAGTGATGTGCAAGATTCTCTCATGATGCTCTGCCAACGTGCCTCTCTCCTGACTTCCTGCCCCCACCCTCTTTCCATACCTCTCCTCCGCAGAGTCTGAAGGTTTTGGAGAGAAGACATTCACTAGGGAGCCAAAGTGACCATCAAACTCCTTTCAGGTGTTGCCTAGATAAGGGTTTTTTTTTTTTTTTTTAGTCATCTTCTCTAGAAATGGAAGGCTATTGCTGAGCTGAGGCAAACGACCGCCTGCAGGCCTGCCCCAGCCCACAGCCTTGTTAAGCATAGCATATACCATGGCTTATAGTAGAAAGAACACAAACAGATTCTCTGTGCTCTTAACACACATGGGGAAAGAGTATGAAAAGTGGGAGAAACATGGCTGTTCTTATGTGGTCCCACCTGTCTGGCCAGTGGGAACACATGAGAAGAGAGCAGGGACAGAAAGACTGAGCGGGTCAGAGGAAAGCTACACAGGAAAAATAACTTTTTTTTTTTTTTTTTACAGAAAACTCTCTAGCAGAAGCATGGTAGGATGGTAGCATAGTACCCTTGTAGGATGGTTGGCTATTTTTGACAGTCTCTGTGGTTATTCTTCTTCCATTCTTTCTGCCTCCAGCTGCTGCTGTTTTTTATCCTGCCAGTACTTTGGGTATATCTACACTACAAGCGTTACAGTAGCACCGTTGCAGCTAGGCTGCTATTGTCCTGTAGTATAGACACTTGCTACAGCAAGAAGGGGTTGGTCTGTCGCTGTACCCCCTCGAGAGGCAGTAGCTAGGTTGACAGGAAAATTATTCCATCAACCTAGCAGTGCCTATACTGGAACTTAGGTTAGCTTAACTACATCTCTCAGGGGTGTGAATTTTTCACATCCCTCAGCACGTAGACAGATCAGCCTACATTTTAGATGTAAACCAGGCTTTTGTCTCTTCCCCACTCCTCTCTTCTGCTGCTTTTCTGCTCCATGTTATCTTCTTCCCATGGAGTCGATTGGGATGTTGGCCCTTAATGTGTATCTGTCACTTGCATAGGCCCTTGAGTTACCACTTAAATCACTGTTGCCCAGTCTCTCTTCCACAATCACTGAAAACAAATCTACTAGGAATATTATGTGACACTCGTTAAAGAAACCCGTTTTGCTGTCTTCTCTTCAGACTGGAAGCTCTCTGGGGCAGGGACTGCAGTCTCTATTCTATGTTTCATACAATGTCTAGCACTGGAGGGCCTCACTCTTGGATTCAGTTGGCAACTAGCCACTACCATAATAAATTGTCATACCTCAGTTATTCCTTTTCAGATGCGCACACTCTGTATAGCTAACTTGAAACTAAAGGTGGCAAGAAGCAACAATTCTGCAGATTTTTGTGGTTTGTTTGTTTGTTTTTTGTGTTGCAAATCTTTTTGTAATGTTCTGGATAAAGCCTTTTTGTTCAATATTTACCATCCCATCTGCCTTGAAATGGGCATTACAAGCACTTAAGTTATCTTGTTGCACTCCAATATTTCTTTAACAACGTCAGTGTCCTCTACTGAAATATAACTTGTAACTTTCTACAGTAACACACCACTCATTGAATGGCAGCAGATATCCTTATGTCTCCTGTAGGAATAAAACTCCAAGGGACTATTCTCCCTTTTTCACCCCTGAAGTACGCACACCAGGGTCCCATAACTGCATCTGGACTCTAGCCCTCTTACTTACACAATTGCTTCTGTGCTTAGTGGAGATCCAAAGAAAATCTGAACTGTATTAGAAGCAAGCCTTTACCTGTGGCAGATGTGTGCTCTTCCCTTCCCCACAGCCTCACGTACGACAAGAATAAGACCCCAGATGTAAGATACCAGAGGGGCCAATGACAGGTGGGTGCTATCCTAGCCTCTTTGTGAAGGAGACACTAAGACTGCAACATCCCTCCTTTATTGTCCCTTGCCAATATCTCACTGAAGTTCTTAAGCTACCACATTGTTACTCTGCTTGTAAAAAATTGTCATGCTTTCTTGGAAGCAGAAAAGACTGTACCTTTTGGCCGGTGGTATAGTAGCAGCCCAGAAACAATAATCCATAAGTCTCCCCAAGGAACAGAGCTCTTCCTTAGAGGAGCATACACTATCTCCAAATATATCATAGTGGTGCCATTGCATTGCAACTAAAAATTCACTTCAGTCTTGACTAACTTGCATATCTGGACCTTGGAGTTACTGTTTGGAAACACAGAGAAAAGATATTGAACAAAAAAAATATCTTGGGGGGGGGGGGGTTTGAAAACCTGTCTAAAGAGCTTGTGAAATGGGTAACACACATATCCAAAGCCTAACAGTGAGCTGCTGTGAAATGGTGTAAAACTTCCATTCTGAGTAAAAGTGGGTGTTCTCCCCACTGATTTCTCTTATTCTTCTTGATAACTTGACACCTCAGGGCTAATTTAGACACTTTCTACTTCGTGATTTCATTCCTGCATGTGGTGTAATTTTAATTTTTTAAGCACTGGATCTGGTGTAATATGTATTGTAAAGGGGGAGTGTGATTGTGTCTTGGTTCACAACTGCTCAGTAAGTCTCTGTGCATTTGAGAGAAATTTCAAATAAGCATTGCTGTTATACGTTGCAAACAAGTCACCTATTTTGGGCAGGGTAGCTTTTATACTTAGCAATAATAAAGGGAAAATACTAGAATTGGCTTTAAATAATAAGTCTTGAAAATATACATTGTATTGCATCAAGCTCATAGCAAAGAGTTCACACTCTTCTATATGATGTTTCTTCTTTCAAAAATGATCATAAATCATTTGTCAGTTAATCAACCATGCAAGTCACTAACTTGCACCAGTTACCAAATAGCCCAGGGAAATGCATTATAAAAAATCTAATTTAACAAAGTTGTCTAGAATGCTGCTTTGTACTGCACATATTGTTGAACAAAAATAATGAAATATTGATGGATTTTTTTCAGCGGCCATTCCTCTTGCAATATCAGTTTGATGCTCTGAGCTGTAACATTGACACTATAGATTAAGGCTGAACATGAGATACGGTTTGGCCACTAGCATGCAGCATGATAGATACAGCATGTGAAATCTGCAGAACTATTACAAGAAAGCAGCAATAAATATATTTTTTTCTGTGTGGAATTATTAGGAAAGTGCTGAGTAGTTCTTGCATGTTTTCTACATCTAGATACTTTTTTCCAAGAAAACATACAATGAAATCAGTGTCTGGACCACAGTACTCCAGTGTTGGGGGTTGGATAATTAAAGAATAGAGATGGTCTCAGCAGCATTTAAAGCTAAGAGAATAAAAACTGACTGCTGTTGAGTCTTAAGATTTGAACCTTAAAGGATGCTATAGAGCATTTGACATGGGGGTTTTGCAAGATGAGGAGACTAAAGGCCTGTGGCTATAACAGAATGACAGACAAAGGCCTGAAAGAGATGCTCTCTCAGGGCCCAATCCAACTCCCACTGATGGCTGCCTGCCACTCACTTGGAGGGTGT